CTTTCTGGGTGGTTCCTGAGGCTTGGACAGGAGCATGAGTATCTAGAAGTTTTGGCATTTAGTTATTGGTTGGGTTTTTCTTGTATTCACAGTTTAGAGAGGAAAGAGGTTCTGCCCACCTTACTAAAAATCTGAAGGGATTTGCACCAGTGGAATTTGACTGCAAAACACATCTTTGTTTGGTTGATTCTGTCGTGAAGGCAGGAACTTGCACTTGAGTACAGTTAGTACAAGGATTTAATCATTACTGCTTCCGTTTCATTTTAAAATCAGATGTGGTAAGTGTTTCTAAGTCAGAAAATTGTGATTTTTTTTTTTCAGCAGCCTTATTCTTTTGGTGCCTTCTGCTGAGCTTTAGAGCTCACCAGGCAGTCACAACTCTGGGAGAGCCGTGTTAGTTCCCAGTTGTGTGTCTCCTTCTCCTGCACAGGGCCAAAATTGTGGCGTTTTGCCTCAGTGGCCATGCCATTTATATGAGAGAGAGGGGGAATGTGGTGTGAGACAGAGCTCCACACTCCTGCCTGGGCTGTACATGGATATCAGTTTCATGGCAGCTGGCAAAGATGAGGTCACTTCCCATTGACCCTAAGGAATAAAGTAAAATTAAAAAGGCAATTCTGTGCTTTCTGAGGGTGCTGTGCTCCAGCTCCTTGCAGGAGGAAAGCAAGAGATGTGGTATTGATTTTTCAGTGTGCAGGTGGCTCAGGCATGTTCTGAGCTCTGTTAGAACGTGAGCAGATGCTTCATAACTGTAATAGAAAATCAAGGATGCTTCTCTACATCACTGACTTCCCCCAGTGTTTTGGCAAAGATCGTTGGCCCAAGCAGATGTGGAAGAGAGTGGAATTATGAAGTATGTCAGCATCATGAATATTTAAAATATGGTCCACTGTGTGGCAGAAGCACAGACACTCAGGCTTCTGCTTAGCTGGATTTTATATCTATCCATGACTTTCAGCCAGTGTGTACAAGCACAGTACCCAGTTCCATGTGGTTAATAAATGTGGGTTGAATTAAACCATTTAAAGAGCACAGGGAGCTTTCGTGCTGGGGCTTTGGTCACTGCTTTCCCCAATACCCAGCATGTTCCCATCTCACTTCAGGGTGTCGTTTTTACTCTCCATCAGCACTTGGCTGTCTCTCTGGTGTCTCTGTCTCTTGTGCTCTTGTGTCCTAGAGTGTGATTCTTCCAGGATGCTGTAGCACATCAGGTGTATTCCAAAAGGTGAGTGGCTGGCAGGAGTGGGCTGTGCAAGCTTCCACAGCCACCCCTGTAGGAATGAGAGGTGAAATTGCTACCAGACCCTCTGGAGGTCCTTAGGGTTATTAAGCAAGGTAGGGGGAAGGAGGAAAAGGTAAAATTTCCTCTCCTCTATCCAGCAAGCCCAGAGGAGCTGTGGAAGTGCCTGTCCCTTCTCCCCTCCCCTCTGTACTGGAAACAGAGCTGGAGGCAGCAGAAAATAAGTGGACGCTTAACGCAGTTTTCAGCCTCGCACATGGATTTTGTTACTTTCTTGTATGTCATGAGTAAGTGACTTAAGCAAGACATTTCACTTGCCAGAGTGTTCTTTGTTGTAGTTCAATGCAATAATGTATCACTATTGCATTATTTGGAAGTAATTCTATTCTATTAACTATTTTTTGTGCAAGTACCTCATAAAGAGAAAAGAACTCCACATTGTCTTGAATTTAAATCATTTATTCCTTCACTACTTCGAAAATTATGTCTTGTTATAAAATCATTTCCACTAACTGGTGTTGCATCACCAGTACCCGACCATGAATATGCATTCCTGGGAAGGAGAGGGTGACAGAAACAAACACCTACTCTAATGTGTCATTAGAAATCAAACAGACCTAAAACTTGCTTCTGCTTGCCAATGCTCAGATCTTCTAAAAGTCTGTCTCCGGCAGCGAGACCAAGGATGCATCCAGATTACAGAAGCTGTGCTTGCAGGCAGGCGAAATATCAGTGAACAATTTCAGATTATAGGTTTGCGTTGTGCTCACAAAGCTGTTTATTTATGTACAGGATTAAAGTCTTCTTTTTCCACCTCTATTTGCTCAAACAAAGTGAGTACTTAGATCAGTTCAACAGCGTTCTCCATTCATTTCCACTGGCTGTATCCTTTGTGCGTTACATCCGCCTGTGTATAAACCCGCTCTTTGTTTTGTTTTGAGGTGCTTCTTCAGGCTCTATCAGGGAACAAGTGGCAATCTATAATATCTTCAAAAGTGGGATGGTTGAAATAGCAGTAATCTGATACTGACACATTAAGGTCACCAAAAGGCACTGCTGAAATCCCCCCGAGCAGGATGGGAGTCGCTGCCTTCAGAATGGCACAGTGCCTGCAGAGGGGGCCGGCGTTTGTCTTTCAGGACTGATGGTTTTTTTCTCTTTGAAATGTCTTATTTTTGGTAGGTTGAAGTAGTTCCTCTGCTTGGTTGAGCGGCAGGGGAAGCTCTGTGTAGGTGTTAAGCGTGTTACGCACAGCATCGTGTTGGCAAAGTGACCTTTTAGGTTCCCATTTACAGTCAGCACCAGCCCTCGTGGTTATTGACAGCACGAGCCTTTGACATCCTGAGCATCATTTTGAGTTTGATATTGTCTTGGTCATTCCGTCATTTTCTTTGGACACAATGCCAGAGTGTCATGTCCTACACAGTTTGTCTTGTTCTTGTGCAAGTTCCCTGGAAAGAAAGGAGATTTGCACTCGGATTTAAAAAATAAATACAAATCTCGGTAGGGCTCTTTCCGTTGACTTGGCCATGGCCTTTAGGCTCTCACAGAGAAACTTTAAAAATCCCTGCTGGGGGTTTAAGCCATGTGACTCCTGTTGATATTATAATGAGATTTACAGTGCTTAAACCCCACAGGAGACTGACTCCTTAGTTGGCCATCCCAAGTCCCAGTGTGTGGGTAACATGCACTGGGCAGATTGATACACTGATTCTTTTTTGTTCTGTTTTTTGTTCTTCCAAACACACTGAAATCATAACTCTCATATGTTATCTTTATGGACTTTAATGGAGTGTTAACATGCAAGCCTCCTTTCTCACCCTTTGCTGTATCCAGGTACAGAAACAGATGATAAAGACCATTATTTTCTGAGGTATATAGAGGATGTTGGACCATATGCCTGTTTGGCTTCGGTGGATGGTGTTCTTCAGCCATTCTCCCTCTTCCTCAGCTGAGGAAATGTGTGATGTAGCATTTTTGTAATTTCCTTGAAAAGAATGCATCTGTTCTGTAGTTCTTTTAAAAACTTTACAGAGATTCCCCTCACTTGAACATTTTTTAGAAGACTGATTGAGTTAAAGCAGTCTAGTATTTGTATATAGAGAGGACCTGTGTAAGGCTCTTCACTTACTGTTGTTTTTAGGAAATTACTTTGCACATCTATATATTTATGCTTGAAGGACCATTTGTAAACAGCCAAAAAAAAAGATATTAATGAAATAATGAATTAGGTTCATGTAAAACTCATAATGCCTTTTCTAGTCAGTAATTTTTTTTCATGTGAAATAATTTAAAAAAGCAGCTTCATTAATCTTCAGATTCTTATTGGGCTTAAAGTCAAAAGTGGCAGAATCTGGGCAGGAATTTCTCTTCCAACTAGTTTGTGTTTGGGATGACATCTCAGGGTTGTATTTACAGTGATCTGTCTACCCTGTGCATCTGAAATAATACAGGAGCACAATTTTGTTCGAGTGCACAGACAGATAATATTACAGAAGAAGAATAAACAGCATTTCCACGTGTGTGTAAAAGTAAAATGGCAAAAAGTAGGCATTTATCCATAACATTACCTGTAATCCAGGATGAAGTAAGTCATAAAAGCCACACCTAGATGCTGGTATGTGTTCATATCCTTTGTGTATGTTTGAAGTCCATAATACAGCACAGACATACTGTAGCAAAAAGATTGGCCATGAAAAATACATACATGTGTGAGCATAAAATAGAGATTTCAATATTATTTTGACATTTTGCTTTTAAAGTCATCTAAGGTTATGGAGATTGTTGCAGAAAATAATTCCTTTCCTTACGAAGTTTCCATGCAGAAGTCGAATAAAGAAGATATTTTAGAATATGGTTCATCAGTGAGTGCAACAGATACATTTCCCTGAGCACCACATGGCCTGGATCAAAGCGTCTCATGACTTGGATCAGTGCAGCCAAATCATTACGTATTGATTGGAATCCCGCTGAAGGATTAACCCCTTAGTGCTCATATGAATTTCTTGCTTTAACCCTGGGTTCAGTAGTTAGGAGGCTCTCTGACGTTCCTGCCCAATCTCAGGCAAGGTTAATAGCCCCCACTAACCCCTCGTACTGAGGAATCCTTTGATTGCATACCCCCTCTTCTTTGTGGCGAATTTTGCATTTCAAAATACATCTCAAATCTTCTTTCTTGGGATGTAAGGGGGCCGTATTTGCGCAATGAAACAGCCTGTAAGAACAAGAAAAAAAAAAAAAAACAACCGGAAAAGAAACCAACCCAGTAAATAAATAACATGGTGGGAAAGCCAAGGCTGCAAATTTGATGCTTTTCCCTTCTTTAGCCATGAGGAAAACCTCAGGTCCAGCTGTGTTATGGTGTAATGGGACACTGCTGTATGGAGATGACTTCTCGATGAAGTTGAATTGTAAATATGCAATGTTCATAAATTTTTTAGCAAAATATCAAGCAAGATATTAAGCAGGTCTGTCAAATGATTTCTCCCCCGTCCATGTTAATTTAAATTCTTTACAAACCTCTTAATTAATGAATGAAATGTAGGAGGATAACTAAGTAAGAATGACACATATTTCAAACTGCAAATGGTATTTAATTCTGTTTTGAAAAACCCTGGGCAAGAGCCGGGCGGGTAACGTGCACTGTTGGGGATGCTGCAGCATCTGGTATTTGCTGGTCTTTAGGAGTCTTGGCGAGGACGAATTGTTACAGTGCCTTCAGTTCACAGCACTTTTTCTCTCTCCTCTTTCTCCCCTCCAGTTTATCCCACGAGGAGCACTCACACAGCCACCCGCTGTACGGACACGGCGTATGCAAATGGCCGGGCTGTGAAGCAGTATGTGAAGACTTCCAGTCGTTCCTAAAGTAAGGATGGTTTTTTTGGCACTTGCATTGTAGAGAAAGCATGCTCTGAAATTTTGTGTGCTGTCACTCACCCTGGGCCTGATGCAAAGCCCATTGAAGTCAACAGAGAGCTCCCTTTCACTTCAGTGGCTTTTGGATCAGGCTCAAGAACGTTTTAACAGGGGATAGTAAATTAGTCCCATGGGGAAATTATGGTCTTGCTCAGTGTATTGCTGTAAAACAGTGTTTGCAGTTCCGCAGGTTTTTTTTTTTAATTTTATTTAAATAATTTTTAAGTTGCAGTATCGATCATGTAAATAATAAAACCTTGTTTTAACCTTGATTTCACTTTAATTTAGAAATCTAGTCTTAAATTAACTCCATAATTGAACAGAGAATTGCAGAACATCACGTGAAATTTAATTTATGTCGAATAAGTAACTAATGAACAAAGTCTACACTACTAAAAATAAACTATAATTATATTAATTGGGCCCCTGCAGTTTGCTGCAGACCTTTTCCTTGCTGCCAAAGAACACAGTTTTACACGTTGCATAAACAGTGCGTTATGGACTAGTGTGTGGTAGTGCGTGCATCCCGATGCAGGGAAGGACCTCAGAGCCCTAATAGCTTACACATGGCTGCTCCACAACTAAACCATCAACCTCACCCCTATTCCCATCACAAAAGAGTTCTTTGTCTGGGTAGGACACCAGGTACATACGGGCTGGGGATGCATCCAGGTTACTGAAGGTTTGTCCCAGATCTTTGCCCAAGTTGTGTGACTGGTCAGTTGTAAGATCACTAAAGACCAGCCACCCAAGCAATGTTTGTGATTTCCCTGTGCAAAGGGACAAATTTTTCTCCCATGTAGAGTAGTCGTCTCATGAAGTTAGTCCACATAAATACATGAGGTTCTTTGGGATGAATGACTAGACTTAGTCCCAAAAGGTTCAGCTGTACCTGCTGTTTCTGGGGCAGTTCCCTGGATTTTTATGTGAGGGAGGGAAGGGCAAAAGCAAGCAGGGGATTTTTGTTGAGTGATGTTAGATGATACAGATAGGGTTTTGCTCTCAGAACAGTGGAACAGTTGTGGTTCCACTGGCACAACCCTCCCCCTCCTGAATTCACAGGAGCAGCGCTGGTCCTACTATAAACATATGTTACAAGTGAGGAATGGTACAGTAATGAGAAGGTTCTCATTACAAGAGGATTACAAAATAAGAAGGTGCTAGTCATAAATTTCCATGAAGGGTGGCCTCATTCCTTGTAATTCATCCTGTTGTTCACTTAAGTGAAATAAATGCTAATCTTGCCATACTTGCCAGCTCATTCATATTCATATGCCATACTATAGCATTTAGACCTTTAAAACAATTCTCATCTTTACTGCAGTAAGTGCAAGGGAAGGGTGCTGTGGTAGCCTTAGATAGCAGAATAACATGTGTGGTCACACATGGTCAGATTGTGCCACCTTTGCTTCCTGTGCTAGTCCTGTGTTCCAGGTGAGAGCAGCTGCTTTCAGGAAGATTCCATAGCAATCTCGAATGGTCTGCTTGAGGTGGCCATGCATAGAAAAAACAGCCCTTAATCAGAAGCATGGGTAGAGGCAGGGTTTCCATGTGGTATTTTGGAGATGTTTCAGTACATAGACCCGGTTCACTTGGAGGAGATACGTGCAGCAATCAGTAGTCAGGAATAACCTGAAAACTGTCACCAGCTGGACTTCAAGCTGCTCCATCAGTTCTAGTTTTTTCACCATCAGTCCAGTTTTTGCCTCCATTGAAATCTTTCATCCTTTCAGATATTTCCGGTGAGTTTCCTAAACTCATCAGCTCGTGTAAATTTTCTAATTATCCAAATGCTGCAGTGTCCAAAGTCTTACTATTCAGAGTGATATTTAACCTAGAACAAATGCAGAAATGGATGTCCCTGAGCAGTGTATTGACATTGCTTCATAAAATACCATAGTCTTCCATGTCTCCAGTGGAGAATCTGTCCTTAAATTATGTTGCCACTTAGCAGAATTCATTATTCAATGGAAAGATAACAGGTAGATGGTTGAAGTTTCTTTCTGATACTTGTATAATATGTGACACTCTTTTGACGGTCCCCTCAAGAGAAAAGCTCTTGTTTACCAAGTGAAATACAGCCTGTGTATCGAGTATTGCTTAATTTCACTTACCTTGTGAAAAGGCAACGAGAAGTTGTATGGGAATGAAAGCCCTGTATGACAATAAAATGATTCTTCAGTTAAGGGAGAAAAAAGGACTCACAGGTCTAAAACATGGTTCATTTCTTTTCCTCCTGAGGAAGAAATATCATAACTGTTGGTAAATCAAAACCAGAGATTTGACACTCTTCTGTGATCGTTCTGTAGTGTTTGTTCCCAAGGTGAGGTACACCACAGGGCCCTTGATTTCAAAGATAAATACTGTACAAATAACGATCCTAGTTGTCTTTCACTCACAGCCAACAGGAGGATGCTTATCAGAACCAGCAGATACACGGGCTATTGTACGCATTTATTTCCCTATTTCTTTTTGAAATAAGTTGCAGTTTTAGCATCGTTGTGTAGCGTTTCTTTTTTGAACCCATCAGCCATTGGTTATCATGTGATGCGGTATCACTTAGAGCTAACTGATAGCAGCAGGGGCTGCTGCTCTGCCTAATGAAACAGCAGAGCCCTGCATGCTCCAGAATACTCCCTGAGCCTAAAAACAAAAACAAGTCCAGTCTCAGGGCGGTGACCCTGTGGCCTCTGCCAAGCTGCAGGGAGCGAGGTGAGGGCTGGAGGGTGCACGCGTGTCTGGCCTGTTAACCAGCGCTCGTCTCACGGGCAGCAGCCAAAGGAGCAGCTCGCAGCACAGAGCGACTTTCCTGCAAAATTGACTATATCCTTGATTTCATTTGCATGTGTTTAAAGACCCTTGAAGATAGAAATATATACCCCTCATACGGCAAGTTGTTCAGGAAATCCCGGCTGGAGGGAGGGTGGTTTATTCATCAGGGTAGCCGGGTATCCAGAGCAAAAAATTAAGAAGACTGTATAGGGTTTTATTATTCCTGCCCCCCCCCTTTTTTTTTCCTATAATTTGATTGTGGGTTAGACGTGCTTAATCCTGGCTGTACCATTTTAAAATCAAATATATTCTTTAAAAGAAAGGACGCAGACCTTTGGAGAGATCTGGCAGTCTTGTCTTGCAGTGATGCTGGTAATCTGCTTCATGTGCATTTAACTTTGATGAAACGAAGGGGAGTTTATGTGAAAGAAACTACTAAGTGCACTCTGTAATGTTTTCACAAGTGTTTTTATCATGGTAACATCTTGTTTACTTTAGTTGCCTGCCTAAAACTACTTGGAACATGTTAAGAAAACATTTCGAGAAAGCTTCTACAAAGAGGCTTTTGTTTAGCAGCAACTGTGAGACTGCTCGGCTCACAAAGGTGTTAACTTTCAACCCCTTAAGCACTTCCACATGAAATTCCAGCAACTATGTTTGTGGTTTTGGAAAAACAAAGTGTATATTAAAGAAACCAGGTATATGCTAATACATGTTGAAGTAGGCCGGAAATCATAAATTGTTTCAAAGGCATTAATTGCGCTGGTTTGCATGGCAGAGCGTTCTGCCCTGCAATCAGCCGCACGGCGCGGGTTTAATCCAACAGGCAGCGAGGGCAGGGAAAGGCTGGGCTGTGCGTGGATGTTTCAGGGTTCTCTAGGGCCGGCGGGACCCCCCCGGGAATGGGGAAGAAGCTTTTGGATGCGGCCCCGTCCCGTGCGGGGGGATCCCGGCCGGAGCCGCCGGTGCCGAGCGGGACGGGGCCGGTCCGGTGCCGGCTCCCGGCGCTTCCATCGCCTCCCGATCCTCCCGATCCGTGCCCGGCAGGGAGCTCGGGACCCCCGCGGCGGCGAGCCCGGGGTGGCCCAAATCCCACAGTGCCCTCTAGTGCTCCCGGGAATGCTGCTGGGAGCGGGAGAGGCACCGGGAGCGTCCCCGGGAGCATCCCCGGCACTGCCCCGCTCCCGCCCCTCCCGAGCCGGCCAGCACCGGGCCGGCTCCAGATAGCCCCCTGAAATCCCCATTTCATCATTTTCGTAAATCGATTTATTTAATTATTTAAATTTTTATTCTTTATTTTATTATTTGGATTGTTATTTTTCCTGTCGGTTTAATTTTTATTGTGTTGTTGATGTGTGTTTTATCGTGTATGTATTGTTTAATTATCATTAACAATTTCCATTAGGTCATTATTTAGTCTAATATTTTTATTTAACATTATAACTTCATTTCTGTTTTATTTTCATACATCCTTTACACACATATATATATATAAAATAGTTCTGCTGATGGGATATATGTAGCGAGGCCCATTGCCTTGCATTATCCCCTTTTTCCCTCTCTTAAAGGTGCACTTAGTTTATGTTTCCCATTATAATTTCCGGTGTGTAATCAGAAAGCATTC